GGGGGTGGTTGCGTCATGCCATGCGTACCTCCTTGCGATAGCCGGTCGATGACGGACGTTATCCGCTTCTTGAGCCTGCCCACGTCCTCGGGCATCGATAACTCGCCAACAGATCTGACGAATAACGAATGATGCGCACACAGACACAAATTCTTGACGTCACACAGCAGGTCGACCGATTTCCTTCCTTGGCGTACCGGTCCCTATCTCGCTCTTTGTCCTTGGTCGAGAGGCACGTCTTGAGTAGGTGGTGCATGGCCGCCTCACACCGCTCCTCCCACCCACAGCTGGCCGTGTCCTCTATGGCGATGCCCGTGCTGAAGGCCTCACACAAACTGCCGCTCGTGCGATCGTCCAAGCCGAAGCGATACCTGACCATCCATCCATCCATCCATCATTCACACGTGTCTTCGTGTGTGTGTGGCTGCTCACTTGGTGAGTCTGGTGATGAGATGCGTGGCTGCGGTGAGGTGCTGCGCCACCGCCATGAGGGCCTTCTCGGCCTCGACTATGCCGTCACACACGGTGCACACCTGAACCACCACACACCACACACACAAACTGAATGGGCTCATAGCATAGCCAGCCACGTGTGTCCTTTCTCTCTGGCGTGTGCAGGTAGGTCCATACCTGTTGGTAGGACACGTTGAGAAGGAAGTCTAGGTGCTGGAGGGGCGACGGGTTGCGATCACGGAAGCGGACAAGAAGGCGCTTCTCAACAGCCCTGCAACATGCAGTCACCACATCCCACCAACCCACACACACACACACACACCAAGGAGTCTGCGCCTGCCTGCCTGCCTGAGTGCGTTGGTCCGTCCCTCCCTCTGCGGCTGCCTACCTGTATTGCTGTGTGCGATCCTCTAGTTCCTTTCGGAGGTCTCTCAAATGGCACCGCAGCTGCAGCCAGTGTGGGCATCATGCCACATGATGGATGACCGCCGTGGCGGTCGGTCCTCACTACTCATCCTCTCATCCTTACCGCGAAATGGTCGTCTAGCAGTATGAAGTAGTCGTGGAGCGGCAGCGGGTCGCGAAACGACAGGACCCCGCTCGCGGAACCTGGCAAGCCGGCCGCACGACACGTGCAGGTGTGTTCGATCGACATCCTTGTGTGCTCCTTGTGTGTGTGCCTATGTGGCACCTGTTTCCTGCGCTCTCAGGTTCTGCAGTCGCCTCTCTAGCTCATACAGCAGCAGCCTGCAAGCAGCATGGAACGGACCTGCCTGAGTGCGATTGGAATGTGTGTGGAGTGTACCGTACCCCCCAGGGGCCCCCCACCCTTCCACTCCACCAACCCGAGCTGGGCGAACTCCGACGTCTGTATGGCGATCCTGCCGCTCTTGGCCAGCAGCACTGTCCCCTCGCCGCCACCGCGAAACCGAAAAGACACTATGTGGGGATTCAACGACCCTGTGTCCCGCCCCGCACACACATCAGGTCAGGCACACATAACATAGCGCGGGACAGGACACCAATGTGTTGTGTGTCCGCACCTATCTTACCTTGCACTTCCTGCGGTAGCTCCCAGCCATTGCTTGCGGGGGGTTGTGGGTATGTCATGTCGTCGAAGAGGGCCAGGAGGGATGAGGGCGGGGAGGGGCAGTCGAAGACCAGCTTGTACACCGCCGAATGAACGGGCTGCGTCAACTCGGCCGCCTGCAGACAGACACGGGTGAATGAATGAATGGATGAATGGATAGATGGATGGATGGATGGGGTCTGTGCGGTGACTTCATTACGAGCATGAAGGGCAGCCTGCAGTGTGCCACTGCCGTCCTTGGCTGGCCGCGGAGGGTCACCATACAGGCGGACACCACCACTGAACGAACGCGTTCGTTGGCGCAGCTTCGCGCATGGCATGCCTTGTCGAGTGTGTTGTTTGTGTGTTGGTTGAGCTGACCTTCCAGGTTGGGCACCAGCAGATCCCTCCTCACGCGAAACTCCATCCTCGCAGTCACTGGCTCATTCGGCTCTACACACACACACCACACACACACACATAAGCAGGGATACTACCAACATGTGTCTTCCTCTCTGGTGCCCGTCCCCCGACTGACTGATGGCGCGTATGTTGATTGATGGGCGCTGCGGCACCACTGCCGGCGGCGTCTTGAAGGCGATGGTGACGCCGTCCTGCGCGACGTTGTCGATGGATGAGGTGATGTTGTGGAGGCCGTCGGTGTAAGTGCTGCCGCTCGGGTCGTCCAGCAAGACATCCACACACACCGTCACCTGCACGAGGTCGCCCTCGTCGCGCGCCAGAGTGTCGTCGTCTTCGGTGTCTTCATCGCTGCCAGGCCCCTGTGTGTGCGTAGATACACATAAATCAGCCGGTGCGTGTGTGGGTGTGCGGATACTGTCTTCCCGCTTGCCCGTTGGTCGAGGTGCTCGGGCACTCTTGGTGTGACAACGAGGCGGTCGAACGGCTCGGGGGGTCCCGCTGCACACACACACACACACACGCACAGACAGATGGTGGCAGGGGTGAACGTGTGTGTGTTGTCCGCTCACCTTTGTGGGTCTGTCGGATGATCTGCAGGAGCTCCTGCTGCTCGCGCTGACACACACAGGGAGGAGAGGACGTGTGTGGCCGACGGCCATCCAGCCCGGCCACCCCGGAGACGCACCTCCATCTCTGCATAGTCCAGCTGCCTCATCTCAGTGTTGACGAGAGCGGACGTAGGCGGCTCTGTGCCCAAATATGTCACCTGCACACACACAGCATCATGTCCCTCTCCGATGCATCGTGTGTGTGTGCATCACCCACCACCCCACGCACCCTCCCTCCCTCCCTCCCTCCCACCGTGAGCTGGCCAGCGTCGTCAAGCACGACGATCATGCCTGGGACCGGCCCCAGCTGCGCGACGGCCATCTGCACTGGGACTATCTGGTTGGGCAGCTTGGCCGCCCACACAAGCTGGCCGTCGGCCATGCGGAAGACCAGCACGTGACCCGTCGTGGTGCCCAGCAGCAGGTTGTGCACTGGCAAGGCGTCCAGACCACCGTCTGATAGATATAGGGTGTGGTGTGGGTGGAGGGGCTTGTGTGAGTAGCCAGCCACGGTAGCTGACGTGACGTACCATCTGGTGTCGGGAGGGGATAGCACGCCGCTGTGGCCATTGGGTACTCCGTCATGCGGCGCTGCGTCAGCACCGCGCCGTCGTCCTTGAGCACATACAGCGTCTGCTCGCCTGACACACACACCACACAAGTCGTGATCGAATCGATGAGCAGGACACGCAGAGGGAGGGAGCGATGCACACACACATGGAAACTTACCAAGAACGAGTATCTCCCTCCTGCTGCTTGGCAGGTCCTTGCTGAAGCGCGACACCTCAATGTGACGGACAACCTCGCCGACGTTCACCGACCAGTCCACCTGACACACACACACACACACACATACAGACGTACCGGTGCCTCTCTCTCCAGGATTCCCTCCTGACCTGCAGCTTCTTCCTCGGCACGGCTTTCGCCCTTTCCGCCGCCTCCGAGTCATCGCCTGGGGGCCGGAGGTCGCTGTCAGCACTAGCAGCAGCACCCAACACCGAATACCTGCACACACAAGACGAAACAAGACGAGACGAAACGAGGAGAGAGAGTGCACCGGTGCGGTGGATGGACATTTGGGTGGGGGCTGCTATGGGTAGGTTGGTTACTTGAATGCTTCCACGTGGAGGTTTGCGTTTGCGGTGATGAACGAGTCGCTGCTGGGCGAGTAGACGAGGGGCCCCGGGACGAGATAGCTCGCTGGCAGCATGCGGCCGAAACCGAAACCCTCCTGACCGCCATCCGTAACACACAGGCAGATGCAGATGACACACGCGCCCCCCGCTCTCTCTCCTTGCTTCGCTGGCTCACTGACCTACCTGTTCATAGAAGGTCAACAGACCGTCGAGCGACTGCACGCACAGCAGGTCCCTGTCTGACACATATATCCACGCATCCACACATTTTGTTAGACACACAACACATGCCACGGAAGCCATCCATCCATGCATCCATCCATCAGGTTGCTCACTCACCCCTGGCCCCTCCGAAGGGCCCGTAGCACATGTTGTACGCAGGCCGCGTCAGGGCGTGCTCATAAGCAACCGCCAAGGAGTAGTAGGACACCGCCGCGCCGCCATCGGCATGGCCATGG